GGGAAGGGTCCAGACCCTCTCATGGCTCTTGTTAACTGAGGGGTGTTAGAGTATTTGTTAAATATAACTAAAAAATATATATATTGTGTGTCTGATTGGTCCAGACGCTACACATAGATATTGCACACGTCACCTTTACAAGAAAGATATCTTACTAACTAAATGTTCAGATAGTTTTCTAACACCTTGCAGGTGTATGTTAAATCGATATGGTATTTAGGAAATGCCAGCTCCTCGCTCGATTCTCCCTCTCTCTGTTTCTCCCTTTCCTCCTGGTTATGTTCACTCTTTTATCAATCCGTAATGTAAAATACATGGTCCCACAGTGGCTCTTCAGGATGGTGTTAATTTCCTTGCGGGTCCCTCCACTCAGCAAATGAGATTAGTGCAGGCACCTGACGCACGGCAGACGCCCCCCTCTGAGCCCAGTGCACTCTGGACCACTCCAAGTTGGCCGCTGCAGCTATGCATGCTAAATTACTAGGATTGGTGCCAGGGATTACGCTTCTACCATATTCACTAGTGCATCCTTTACTTGTTATACATGATTCATGTGGCCTGGAGAAAATACAGTTTCTGGCTTGTCGGAGAGTGCCTCTCACACACTTTTTGAGTGTGCATTTCTTTTAGTCACGGTCCAGGTGTTTGTCCTACCTCTTCTCTCAACCTGTCTCCTTTCATTCTACTTTGTCTTTTCTTTCCCCTATTTCACTTGAACTTCCTGTGGTGTTTCTGTCCTCCGTCTGTCTCCTGCTGTCAGCTGTTTCTCAGCATTAGCATCAGCTATTCTTCTCTTTTTCCTATTCTCTTGCTGTCTTTCTTCCTCTTTTTTTTTCTTCTGTCAGGCTGGTTTATGTGTATGTTTGTGTTGTACTTGCACACCTTGTCACATTGATATCCACAAACTAACAGAATTTATTTATTTGTTTGTTTTAAAGCAAAGTATTAATATTATTATTGTTGGTTTTTAATAATAGCTTAAAATTTTAAATTAAATGTTTGTTTCTTTATATTTATATTGGCTTGTGTTATTATTAATCTTAGTATTTGCTTGCTGAATAGGTTTAGTTTAAAAAAACTTTATACGTTTATAAATAGTTATTATTTATTTATTCATTTATTCAGCTTTATAATTGACCCTTCGCCAGGAGTTTGATTGACAGGCGATATGATCTGACCAATCATAATACCATTTTGTCCGACAAACAAACCAGTCAAGAGTGTAGATTAACATCAGTGGACTTGAACTTGAAAAATGGTGTATATTGTAGTCTTTCCGCGGATGAAACAAGATACCTTCTGATGTTCATTTATGTTTATTTTGTGCTATAACTAGTAAAGAGGAAGAGATGATTGGTTCACATGCCACTTGAACTGAGGCAGCGATCTGTCACGACACATTAAAGAGCCACAAAACGGTATTTAATATTTTAATTTCTTTAAAAAATGACACAATTTGAAAGCTGATATTTTGTTTCATACCAAAAGTAACCTGCTTAATCTTGTCTGTCAGCATGTTGTCAGTGTCCTCCTTGCTCCACGATGTTTTTTCCACTGCGTGAGAACAATGTGTGGTGTGAAAGCACCATGGCTTGTCGGACGTAGAAACAGTAACTAAGGGGGCGGATCTTTGCGAAGGGTCAAGTGTGAGAAGGGTAATTGTGATAATGAAAATATCTTGTTGATTTGTATTAGGGTCAGAAAGAGCAGACATACTGTAGAGATGACATTAAAGAGTGATGTATGTGTATGCTGGCTGTCATCTGTAATAGAGGGAGCCATCAGCCAATGCCCAAATGTGTTTGTTGCTCAGAGAAAAATTATTGAATGCAATACTGGCGAGACCTTTGCCATATTACTCTGTCACTCTCTCTCACAGCACCTCACGCACAAGCAGTTTCCACCTATGCACTGCATTTTTTTTCAAGCATTTAAGGCAGGTCTTTCAGTTAGACTTCACTCACCTCATCACTTTCTCATAAAGTCTTGACACAAACTTGAAGCTCAACCTAGAAAATGAGAAAGAAGCAGTCTATTGTCAGCTGGTGTCAGGTTGCAGTGGGCATTACTGTCCATTTCCCACCGGACACGCTGACCCTTTTTTTTTTTTCTGTCATAGGTCTGAATGAATGTGCCATTAACAATGGAGGCTGCTCTCACGTATGTAAGGACCGGCAAATCGGCTATGAGTGTGAATGTCCCACGGGCTACAAACTCCTGGACAAGAAGACTTGTGGAGGTAACAGATATATTATGTCAAGATACCAACATTTTGATGCTGTGCAAGTCTACATTGTACCCATTTTCCCCGAAGCCCACTGTTGTACGTGCATTGTGAACATCTAGGATTTGTTTACTCTGTGTCTTCTCTTTGAAATTGATAGTAGAGAAATCCCCAGATGGTGTTTGCAAGCATCATTTATCTTGTCTGTGGACACTGCACTACAAAAGCCTCTGTTCTCTGTGTATCTCTGCTCTGTTACTAATGCTTTTCTGATGGTCCTCGCCAGACATAGACGAATGCGAGAACCCTGATGCCTGCAGTCAAATATGTATAAACCTCAAAGGCGACTACAAATGTGAATGCTATGAGGGTTACGAGATGGACCTGGTTACCAAGACGTGTAAAGCAGTGGGTAAGATACTCCACATCAGCATCTCCATCCATCACTGTTCTGGACCAGGGTTAAATTATTATTTTTTGTTTGTACTAATGATGGGAGACATTTTACCAATGGTAAAATTTTAGTTTTTCAGATAGGAAGCAATGTTTTTTCGTTATTTCCTTAAAAACATGTATTTTTGTCCATATAATGATGGAGTTATTGAGTATTTTATTAGTTTCCCCCCCCCCCTCTTTTTTATGTGGCAAGCAGTACAGTTTATTGTATCATTCCCAGCATGTATGTATTTATACACATGCACTCACACAGTGGCAGAAAAGTTGGAAAATAACTTATAAATATTATAACATCTTATAACTTATTCAAAATATTAAAAATATGTACTTTAAATAAAACAGATATTTACAGATATTCAAAGTTGTCTGTAAACTTATAGTATGTTATATTATTAAATTATATTATTTTTTGTTTATGGTACTTTTTTGTATCTCACCACATTCCATTCTGATGATGGAATGAAATTGCTGTAAACTGTTATGATTGCATCATCTCTTCCATTTATTCACTGGAGTGGCAGTGGAGTACATTATTTTTCTTGAATATTCTTTGTATTTGTCAAGTGAGGGAGACAGTGGGGTATTTTCTTTTTTTTTGCCAGCCACTTGTTTGTTTTATAAAGAAGATGGGATTAGTGCGGCATGGCATGCTTTGGAATTGTGAGGGTTTTGTGTACCTAATGTAGCTAATCTTTATTGTCCTTCGTTTGCCTGACCATCCTGCGTAAAACTTCAGTGCATTTCCAGCACTCCCGATAGGCTGGATGAAAGCTGGAGAAACACTGTCATTAAGTGCAATGTGTAAAGCTGGCGAACAAAACCATTCCCTCGGGCTAAAGAGCATACTGAAATCTTATACTGAAGTGATTTCACTCTTCAGAAATTGCATTCAGTTGGTATTGTGTTCAGGTCTGATATATCAGTTTAAGTTTGTGTGGTAAGTTTCATATATGTATAGATATGTGTGTGTGTGTGTACCTGTTTTTCTATTCTGGTGGGGACTTAAACCTGAATACACACAGACTCATGGGGACTCATGTCACGGTGGGGACCTAAATTGTGGTCCCCATGGGTACAAAAGCTTATAAATCATACAGAATGAAGTTTTTTGAAAATCTAAAAATGCACAAAGATTCCTGTGAGGGGTAGGTTTAGGTGTAGGGTTGGTGTAGGGCAATAGAATATACGGTCTGTACAGTAGAAAAACCATTACGCCTATGGAGAGTCCCCACAAGGATAGCTGACCAGACGTGTGTGTGTGTTTAGGTTAAAATAGTTATTTTAAAAATGTGTAATTTCTATCTTTATATGGTTCTTAGCACTACAAATAGAGAATATGTACTGTAACTAATGTGAGTTTTTATTCCTTTCTAGTCTGTCGAGATCAATTTGGACTTTGTTTGTTCTGTGATATGAAGTGGAATTTTAGTTCTGTGTTCAAGATTACAGTTGCAGATTCATATTAAGAGATTAGATATTTGACTTTTTTCAGTCATTCTAAATTCTCCTTTAAAGGGCTGCAGTGATCTATGTTTTTTCTTCATCGTTCCACCTTTTTGGTGTGCCTAGAAAAGCTATTAAATAATTTTAATAGCTTGATGTTTTTGTCACAGGTATATCTTTCAAAATGTAAAATAAATAACTTTTTTTGTTCCCTTTCATAAGCATATCAGGCAGAGGCACATTAAAGATAAGAGGGAAGTGCGCTTTTATGCACCGTGTTCCCAGACTTTGGTTTTCTGGGCATAACAGCCATTTTTTCAGACACAGTAGTAGCAGCAAATATGACCTTTGGGTGCCAATATTAGCTATAATGAGTTGTGTTATGAATAGAGAGTGCAGAGAGCGTTCAGTGACCATGTTCGTAAAACAAAACATGACTAGACCAATTTCATAAAGTTTTTTATTTATTTATGTTTTTTATTCTTTCAACTGCAGCCAAAAGCAAACAGAACAAAACAGTGCCTTTCATATGTGATGCTGAAGAAATGAGCATCGTTGCTCAATACTGCCTGCAGTGTTTTAATGAAATATTCTGTTACATCTGAATTAACATAATCAGCTTGTTTAGATTTGAGGAGACAAATATTATAAATGAAAGCACAAGCCACTCATTTGTGTACATATCAGCCACAGCACTGAAGGGAGTCCCCTTAAAAATGGTAGTTCACTCAAAACTTCTGTCATTTATTCTGTTATTTATTAACCATTTTCATATTTTGTAGAATTTTTTTTTGATGCCCATTGAATTCCACTGAAAGGTTAAAAAATATATATCTTAAAAATATCTGTAACACTTTATTGTAAGGTTCCATTTGTTAATGTTAATGTATTAACTAACATGAACAATGAACAATACATTTATTACAGTATTTATTCATCTTTGTGAATGTTAGTTAATGAAAATATAGTTGTTCATTGTTAGTTCACGTTAATTCACAGTGCATTAACTAATGTTAACAAGCACAACTTTTGATTTTAATAATGCATTAGTAAATGTTGAAATTAACATGAACTAAGATTTAAATGCTGTAGAAGTATTGTTCATGCTTAGTTCATGTTAACTAAAGTAGTTAACTAATGTTAACTAATGAACCTTGTTGTAAAGTTTTACCAAAGTATCTTCTGTTATGTTTCAATGAAAAAAAAAAGAAGTCATAAGGTTTTGAACGAGGGTGAGTAAATGATGACACAATTTTCATTTTTTGAGTGAACTGTTCCTTTGGTAAAATTACTGTAGTGCACAGGCTTTTTATATATATATATATATAAATCTGACAACAGCAATTTGATAAAAGATACAAATATTCAGTATATTATTGATAATAATCAAAATAATTATTATTTTAATTGATATAATTCATTAGCATAACTGTAGGATGGTATAGTTATCAAGTAATGCAGCAACTTGGCACATTGATAAAAAATGTAATTGATGTGCAATCACTTTTACAGTGGCTTTTATTGTGGGTTGTCCGATCAAATAGTAGTCTTTAAGAAAAAAAATTATTGTGATAGGCGTTTGCAGATCTAAAATATTGGATAGAGATTGTTTGTTGTGAAGGCTTTTTAAAAATCCTTGTTTGGAAAATTTGAATGACAGGAGAAGTCATGGAGATCGTGTGGTGAAAAGGTGTGGGATTATAATATAGAACAACATGCGTGTCATGTGCTTCCAGCTCTCTGATAGGTCTGTCAAATACTGTCATTATAAGTGTGAGGTCACTCACCTGTTGAGAGTAAATCTGAGCCGTGTAAGTTGGCCTCAATGTGAGACTCAGCTGAGTAACACGATCGGGGGGTTATGAGAAATGAGTGGCACTGGCATAACCGCAGACACTTTTTCATGTCTGTCTCCATCTCTTTTCATTGTTACTTTTCAGTCAAGGTGTTACACCCCCACATGCATCATTTTATCTTCATGCTTTCACTCCCACCTCTTTTCCGTCACCCCACTTCCTAAATATGACTCTAGAAATTGATGAAACTATGTCACGCTGTCTGTGCTCTGCACACTGGGTGCCAGCCAATAGGATGATGCCTGTCTGCGCTGTGGAACAGCTTGTGGAGGAAATCAAATACGTGTTTGTATGTGTCGTGTTGTCTTCGGGACTGATGCCTCACGTTTATTCTGCGAGCTGCCATTGCAAGCAGCTGAGGGATATTATTGGATGAAATGGTTACAGAAGTGAAGCACAGTGAAGAATTGCAGTGGACTTTGAGAGGGAAGCTCAAAGACACAGGTGACTGTCTAGAGCAGGGGTCACCAAACTCGGTCCTGGAGGCCCGGTGTCCTGCAGAGCTTAGCTCCAACTTGTCTCAACACACCTGCTTGGAAGTTTCTAGTATACCTAGTAAGAGCTTGGTTAGCTGGTTCAGGTGTGTTTGATTAGGGTTGGTGCTAAACTCTGCAGGACACTGGCCCTCCAGGACCGAGTTTGGTGACCCCTGATCTAGAGTTAATGATGTCTTGGAAACAGAGCACAGTGTGTATGAAGGACTGAAACAAGCAGTTCATCAAAAGCATGAATGATATGATGGATGATCATAACAGAATTATGGTGGATCTCCAATTAGTGTGAACCATAAACTGGACAGTCCACTGTGGCCTTGAGAAAAACGTTTTACCATAGATTTTTGTAGGGGAACTGTTTTGACGTTTTGAAGTCTTTTTTTTTTTTTTAATCTTCTAATCCTTTTTTTTTAGTACCATCCCAATTTACTAAAAACATGGCAGGAAACTCCTTGCTTAGAGCCTCTGCCAGTAGCTACAGAAAAAAGTTTGACCAGTATCATTTTTTATAACTGATGGCAATGCAGATACTGATAACTGATATTAAGAACTATTTTCTTTTTCTGCATTTTGACACAATATAAAAAAAATAAATAGATTATTTCATTATTAGCAACAATTAAAAAGCAGTCTGCATTTGAATATATATTGTTAATGATAATAATAATAATAAAGTAATAGTTATTGTTATTAACAACAAAAACAACATGTATAACAAAATATGCATAATACACACAGTTAATATTGAATAATAATAATTTGTATTATTATTTAGAAGAATTAAATAACAGGTACACACAGTATGCATAATGTTAATAGTTATTGTTAATCATATATTAATTTATCATAATAATAATGTAATAATATTATTAATGTGAAAATATATGATACTTTTGTTAATAATAACAACAACATTTTTAATTCCTTCACTGTTTGCAACCACCTACTCTCATTTACTTGTTATTTTTGTAGTTTTGTTTGGTACAGCTAGTGGCAGAAAAATCAATAAATTGGGTAAAAATGCTAAATTAAGTAATTTATGGAGTTAGGTCACATGATATACTTTATTCTTGACACAGCATGTTTTAAGGATTAGAATAACAAGTTTTTATAAGTCCTTTGTTATACAGGACCAAGGCAGTTTAAGAGTTCATGGCCTTTTA